ATATCGTTTAGCTCCAGCAGAAATGCAGGAGTTATCTAGCCAACTCAACGAGTTACTTAGCAAAGGGTTCATCAGACCGAGTTCCTCACCCTGGGGAGCTCCGGTTTTGTTTGTGAAGAAGAAATATGGATCCTTTCGGATGTGTATCGACTACTGTGAGCTGAACAAGTTGACCGTCAAGAACCGATATCCTTTTCCAAGAATAGATGATCTCTTCGATCAACTTCAGGGAGCTAGTTACTTCTCAAAGATAGACCTTCGGTCAGGGTACCATCGGTTACGAGTTCACGAGAGTGATGTTTCCAAAACAGCTTTCAGGACTCGGTATGGACACTAGGAGTTCGTAGTGATGCCCTTCGGTCTAACCAATGCACCGGCAGTGTTCATGGACCTGATGAACCGGGTGTGTTGTCCTTTCTTAGACAAATTCGTCATCGTGTTCATTGATGACATCCTTGTCTACTCCATAAGTGAAGAAGACCACAAGCAACACTTGAGGTTAGTGTTGGAAACCCTTAGATCTGAGAAGTTGTACGAGAAATTTTCCAAGTGTGAATTCTGGATTTGGAAGGTAACTTTCCTCGGTCATGTGGTAAGCGAGGAGGGTATTCATGTGGATCCTTCCAAGATTAAAGCAATAGAGAATTGGTCGGCACCAAAAACACCCACAGAATCCATCAATTCTTGGGTCTTGCCGGCTATTATCGGAGATTCATCTAGAATTTTTCCAAAATCACCAAACCCCTAACCACTCTAGCACAGACAGGTGTACCTTTTTGTTGAAGTGAAAAGCAAGAATCCATGTTCCAAATATTAAAGCAAGCCTTGTGCGGCGCGCCACTTCTGTCCCTACCCGAAGGGACAGAAGACTTCGTTGTCTATTGCGATGTGTCTAATCAGGGCTTAGGCTCTGTGCTTATGAAAAGAGCAAAAGTGATTGCTTATGCCTCAAGACAGTCGAAAGCACATGAGTTCAACTATACCATGCACGACTTGGAATTAGGAGCCGTAGTCTTTGCACTGAAGATTTAGAGACATTATCTCTACAGAACCAAGTGTATGATCTTCACTAACCATAAGATCCTGCAACACATCCTCAATCAGAAGGACTTAAACATGAGGCAACGACGATGGGTAGAGTTGCTCAGCGATTATGAGTGCGAGATTCACTACCATCCTGGCAAGGCCAATGTGGTAGCAGATGCCCTTAGATGAAAGGAAAGTTCAAGTCGTAAAGTGAAGACACTGATGATGACTATTCATTCCTACTTATCCATGCAAATCCGAGATGCCTAGATAGAAGCCCTCAAACCCGAGAACAAATCAAGCGAAGCCTTAAGGGGAATGGATAAGAAACCTGAGATCAGAGAGGATGGAGTTCACTGTTTCATGGACCGAATCTGGATTCCAAAGTCCGAAGGATTCAGGGAGATTGTCATGGAAGAGGCACACAAGACAAGATACTCTGTTCACCCAGGTTCGGACAAGATGTACCTAGATCTCAAGAAACAATACTGGTGGCGAAACATGAAAGCTGAGATTGCTATGTTTGTGGGCAAGTGTTTGACTTGCACCAAAGTAAAAGTCAAGTACCAGAAACCTTCGGGTCTTCTCCAACAACCCAAAATACCCAAGTGGAAATGGGAGATGATTACCATGGATTTCATCACCAAGTTAAAGAATCATTCAAGATGGAAAGACTTGCGCGGATCTACATCTAAGAGGTCGTTCGACTGCACGGTGTACCCACACCCATTATCTCTGATCGAGATAGTAGGTTTACCTCAAGATTTTGGTAGTCTCTTCAGAAGTATCTTGGAACCAAACAAGACATGAGCACGGCTTATCACCCTCAGACCGAAGGACAGAGTGAGAGAACTATCCAAACCCTGGAAGACATGCTTAGGGCATGTGTCATTAATTTCGGCAAATTGTGGGACACACATTTACCTTTAATCAAGTTCTCGTACAACAACAGTTACCACACCAACATCAAGGCTGCTCCGTTCGAGGCCCTCTACGGTCGCAAGTGCAGATCCCCTCTGTGCTGGGCCGAGGTATGGGACACGCAGCTGGCCAAGAGTCGGTTTCACAATAGTGCTCTCACTGGTCCTGAAATCATTCGTGAAACCACCGAGAAAATCATCCAGATCCGAGAACGATTGAAAGCTTCACGAGACCGATAGAAGAGTTACGCTGATAACCGATGGAAATCTCTGGAATTCCAGGTTGGAGACCGTGTATTGTTGAAGGTTTCGCCCTAGAAATGCATGATATGCTTTGGGAAACGTGGGAAACTTAATCCGAGGTACATTGGACCCTTCGATATCCTCGCCAGGATCGGTCTGGTAGCCTATAAACTCGGATTACCCCATGAACTCAGAAACATTCATCCTTTCTTTCACATCTCTAATCTTAAGAAGTGTTTATCCGATGAAACCCTAGTGATTCCCTTAGACGAGATCGAGATCAATGAAAACCTCAACTTCGTGGAGGAACTGATCGAAATCATGGATCGAGAAGTCAAACGTACAAAACAAAGTCGCATCCCGATAGTGAAGGTTTACTGGAATGCCAAGCGAGGACCGGAATTCACTTGGGAGTGTGAAGACTCGATGAAACAGAAGTATCCGCATCTCTTTCCAAATCCATGATTTGTATCTTAACTCTAAATTTCGGGACGAAATTCCCTCTAATGGGGGGATAATGTGACAACCCGAAACTTGAGTTCATTATCTTTTGTTACATCTTGTGGTTCCATATGGGTGCTCTAGACTTAGTATAACCTGGATATAAGTCCTAGGAAGGGTTGGAAAGTGCCTTAGTATCCCAAAATCGGGTCAAACACACCAAATAAGGTGTGTGTGGCCACACACTTGTGTGTGTGGCCACACCTGTGTGTACGGCCGAACACCCAACTTCACTCACCCTCAACCTCACACTCAATCCCTTATATGGATGGATACCCCTTCATTCATTCATTTGGATGTTTCTCTTCCCTCTCTCTACTTTCTCTCTCTAAAATCATATCCAAGAACACTTGGATGGCTTCATAATTGTGATCTACTCCATCTTCAAGCTAACTATAGTGGTAAACACTTGAATCCCAAGCTTAAAACTCATCATGTTCATCATCCCTTGAAGGTGTACGGCCGCACACCTTCACATGGGGGCAGCATACATTCAAATCTCCTAAGTGTGAAGAGAAAACACTTCAAAAATCATCATATGGACTCAAATAAGGAGTGCACGGATGCACACACTCATGTGTACGGCCGCACACTCTTGTGTGCTGCCTCACACACACTCCTGGCCGCAATCCCCAGCCGCACCATCATTTTCAATACAATACACCCACCCTAATGCCCATATTTATCCCTAAACTTGCATAAATCATTAAGTATGGATCATAGAACACTTATTCTTAGTAAATCCAAACCCTAAGGATGTTTTCCCATCGTATTTAGTCATAAAGTACCTTAGTTCTAACTCATTTATGTGTCGTCACATGAATAATAGGGGCCATAGGCGTTCAGGGAATCCATTGACACTTGAACCCTACGTTAAGCGGTGAGTTCATACCCCTACCCTTTTCAATGTTTTTCATTGTTTTCACGGGCGGAATACAAGAAAAGTACAAGGAATACTTGTACTTTAAACTTGTTTTTACATGTGTTGCGTTCCATAATTCATATGCTTTTAACACTGAAAATCATAACAAATAACAGTTTGAACTTGCAGAACACACTATCGTATTATTTGTGAAAAACATTATAAAATGTTGTATTGGTATTTTCACAAATGGTTTTCCACATTATATCAGTTAAAAACATAACCTTTGAACTTGAAACATGAAACATAGTACAATGTTTTGTCCTCGGTAACACTCCACAGAGATACGCGAGTAGAGTATCATCGTTTGCATCAGTACCTTTCTATATTATTACTAGTAAATTTGTTATTTCTATAAATTGGAGACAAGTCCTTGGTAACACTCCACAGAGATACACGAGTGGAGGACCGCCCCCGTAATCCGAATCTCCTAGAAGGAGAACATGACATGAGTGTATAGATCTAAACGGGGCTGACTACCCCACACCTGGCTGCTAGCTACAGCCGAACCGAAAGGTTCAAGGGTGACGAAAGTCATAAGGTGATGTGGACTACTTATTGCCATATCTAGTCTATCGTATGGTTATGGAACTCGTAATTTGGATAACAAAGATTTACTAAATGGTAATAATGAACAAGTAACTATTTTTACTTTACATACATTAGTTTTATATACGTGTTAAAACTAATACCACTCACAAGAACAACCTTTAGGAAAATATGGGATTTTTCCTGGGGTAATACTCATACATAACTAGATTCGTATAACAGATTTAGACAACTAGACTTTACAATTTACAAGGGTAAACATGTTTTCATTATACATCTTTTACTTTACACTTTGGATTTGATAACCAACTTTTAAGAAAATATGGGATTCTCTTGGTGTGTAAATTTTTCAGAAATAGAAACAAAAAGTAACTTGTACATTTTCAGAAAACAAAACCGCTTATGAACTCACTAGTGTTATGCTGATTTTCAAACTGTTTGTATTCTCAGGTCCGCTTTAGACAGGTACCCGATGATTCCTTTTTGGCAAAGACGGAGTGCGTTAAAGACTCGTCTTACTTTTGTTCGTATATACTATGTATCACTCCTGTCTAACTTTACTTTCAAAAAAATGTAAACAATTAAATATGTAATGTAATGGTTGTTTACTTTACTTACTATGTGCATTGGATTTTATACTCAACGTGGAGTCAACCCCGGAAATGTTTCTGCCTTCGGTTTTCGGGGTGTGACAGAATTTGACAGAGAAAAAAGATAAATTAATTGCATGGGTTTATAAGCATCTGATTTCAAAAAACACAAAATAAATAAAAGTTGATCAAATAACCTTAAATATTGGCATGGCTCCAGCGTAGAACCTCACTACATCACCATATGCTTCAGTTTGATGCATTTTCCATATGCTTCAGATTTGATGCTTTGGTTCTTCTGGCACTCCCATCGGTGAACCGCCTATCTCTGTCTCTCCTGCCATACTTAATGTTTATTGGAAAAAGATCAGATTTTTTATTGTGATATCAAATCTTAAATATTGGTGTATATATCTAAATACTCATATTCAAAAATGTTTATTAAATTTGAAACATCTTACACTGGAAACCCAAAAGATCTTGAACTTCTATCTATAGTAGATTTACCATCTTCCTTATTTTCTGAATTTGTGGGTTCGTGTTCATCTAGCATGCTTGATCCTTGATTTTTTTACTTTAATAATTTGGGGGGTTTTTTGTTGTGTCTGTTATTTTATCATCCATAAATTGGGTGTCATAACCTACGTCCAAATTTTTTTTTATATATTTTTGTATCAGATATAATGTAAATATTGATATTTTTATGTTTTTTTTATCGGATATAATGTAAAAAAAAAAATTATAAACATGGCAGATGCAATATCTTTGGCTTCAGTAGAAAAAAGGCCAGCTATAGCTTTTGGGATACCTAAGAAAGGCACACCAATGTTCATTACTGCCTTTATGTGTTTAGCACCCCAATTTGGTCCACCACCATCACCTATCGGAGCTGGTGCTTCCACCTATTTCATAAAATGCAAAAAGTGAATAACACCCATTGAATGTGGAATCACAACTGCCTTATTGCTACCATTTGTAGTAACCATCAGTTCTATATTGCGCTTGATCCTGCTCAATGATTGATCTCTTACCTGAACATGATAAAATCCCATGTCTTAATCCATATGAGAATTAGAAAGTAAAACGAATCACACATGAAAGAAATCCATGTTACGTACCTCTTTATTTTGAAATGAGAGCCTCCATTCATATGCAACCATGTACATTTTCTTCTCTTCATACCCAACACAAGCTAAGATAGCAGCTACAAGTAGTCAGCAACTACAAGTCCACCCACGGGTCTGAGCCGTATACTCGACAGATACATCCCTCTTTTTTTGTCCAGAGACATATGTTGCACCAAGCATGAAGGTCTGCAAGATAAGCATTACAAGAACCCGTTCATATCAAAAAAAAGATTATTCCTATTCAATCGATTGAGGTTGATTTCAATTTCAATTTCCAGCAGTGTAAAATACTCCAGAATTTGCCAGATAACATGTATATGATGATTATAGCGTATACTTCTTGCAAGCAATTGAAACCCAAAAGGCCAAACGTGTTGAATATTCATAGATTAGAAGTCAAATCTTACTCTGAATTCCCTGTTTTTTTGCTAATTTCGTACGTTAATGAAATTAAATCTTCAGCAATCAATCAAATTATTAGAAAAAAAAACAAAAATGATGATGAGGTAGGTAATACCTCTTATAAACTTCACCAAACGTCCCACCCCAAAGCCTTTTTCGGAACAATCCATCCATACATTGATGCCTTTCCCACAGCTCAAGTCCACCGGTTACAATCCCCAGAAGAAACACCACCAGATGCTTCACCTTCAAAACTTCTCTCAAACATTTAACATCGGGAGGATCCAGAAAAGGTCTGATGATTGCCACCGTCACAAACTGCGGGAAAGTGGCAGGCATCACATTGTATAGAAACAACAGCAGTCACTACGCTATGCATTCGCATCCTACAAACCAATAACAATTTATTTTGATAAGAATCGGATAAGGAGCAACAAAAAAAATCATTTATGTTTCTCTTTTGTTCTCTTGGTTAAATAGAAATATTGACATCAAAGAGAGGACTCAGAGAGGAATTTACTGAAGGCACAGAGAGACTGGTGAAATAAGATCTAATGGTCGTTGAACTCTCGGAATGAAGCCCTGCGACTTCTGATCAACACAAGGAAGACGAAGTTATTGAGAGGGAGGTTTGTTGTGCGAGACAGATCACAAAGAAGACCTGATGGTCGTTAAACCAGACCTAGGGCTTGTAAACTTGAGCATCTGTGGCGGTCTCCATCGAGGTAAGGTTAGCCCAAGCTCGCCGGCTAAAAGAGATAAGTTGAGATCGTTGGTATATGAGGTAAGCCAAGGTAGTGAATGTTGCAGAGAGCACTCGTATCTTGAAAAGAACCCTAGAATGATCCCTTCGATTTTTTGATAAAATACATAGTCTGGAGGCGCATTCAAGAATTATAAAGCGACATACTTACACGACATGCCTTTTATGATGGGTGCCCTCCGTGTTTTTTTTCCTGTCACAAATTTTAGGGCATGCAAAAATGTGCATCCTAAATCCTTCAAAATTTCGGAGAGATGACATTATTTTTACGTCACACACTTTTGTGTATCGTGAATTCGTGCGCATCGTAAATTGCATGTCATTAAAGCCCTTTTTTCTAGCAGTGTATCTGGGTTTTGGGTAATCCACGTTTGGATCCATCGGGTGCGGGCAAACCGGGTCTAAGAACCGGAACCAGTGTTAGGAAACGAAACCACTTTTAGGGGCTGGAACCGGTTTTTGTGAAACGTTTAAAAGATGCATATCCCATATGTTTCAAGTCAGATTGACATGTGGTTTTTTCCAACATGTACTTTAGAGTTTGAACATGATTTTAGACTATAAAATTGTCATTTTTAGTTTTATATTCACTAACTTAAATTCTCCCAAAGACGAGATATCAAAGCTGAAAGTTTTTAGTTTTTCAACTTTTTTGTGTTCTGTGAAAAATTTAAAACATGCATATCTAATTCGTTTGAATTCAGATTGACATGCGGTTTTTTCAAGTTTGTAGTTTAGAGTTTCTACATGAGTTTAGACTATAAAATTGATATTTTTGGGTTTATATTTCTTGACTTACAGTCCCATGAAGTCGAGATATCAAAGCTGAAAGTTTTTAGTTTTTCAACTTTTTTGTATTCTATGAAATTTTTATAACATGCATATCTAATTCGTTTGTAGTCGGATCGACATATGGTTTTTTACAACTTGTATTTTAAATTTTTTACTTAAGTTTAGAGTATATTTTTGTCATTTTTTGTTTTAATATTCAATTATTTACAATCCACCGAAGTTGGGATATCAAAGCTGAAACTTTTCAACTTTTCAACTATTTGTTTTTATACATTGTGTTATGTGAAAATGTTAACACATGCATATCTTATTCGTTTAAACTCGGATTGACAAGAGGTTTTTTTTAGAGTGTATTTCAGAGTTTGTGCATAATTTTAGACTATATTTTTGTCAATTTTGGTTTCATATTCAATGAGTTAAAGTCCTCCAAAGTCGGGATATCAATATGAAAATTTCAAAGTTCAACCCACTACGTAGTAAGTAATTACCAAAACATTCTTATTTTTCCAGGTTTTCAAGTTGTAAACCCACTTTATCTGGTTCCAACCAATCCACTTTGATGTTTCCGGGTTTTTTGGTTCTAGACCCACGTTACCCGGTACCGTACCCGGAACCGAACCGGAACCAGTTCCTGTATACCGATCTGGTTTTCGGTTCTACAAAATCCAGTTAACCAGTTCTGGGTTTTCCGGGTTCAGGTCCACCTGGTCCAGGTTTGGAACCACTTTGATCCCTAAATGGGAGGTTGTTCGTCAGCGCACCACTCTAGAAATCCATATCGGGAGGCTTATTACTATTATCGGTCGAGTCGCCGGCCTAGACTTCCCCACCCTCGATTACTTGCCCATTGACCACTACCAGCCCAACTTTCTACTAGATTGTTTTGCTCTTAAGCGAGCAGAGATGTTGGCCAGTTGGGGCAATGATCTTACAATTGGCTTGACGGTGTCAAGCACCTGGTTTATATCCTTCCCAACTGGGTAGGTAATTCATTCGATCTAGATCACCAAAACACTTGGCTTCCCCCGGATCAGTTGACTCCAGTAGGTGTTCTACTTTACTCTGAGGATGAGGAGGAGGATGAAGAAGATGATGACGAGATTCCCGAGGCGGAGGACCATTTCGACTAGCTTCCGATGCAGCAACCGATGTATCAGCATGACCACTTCTAGACCCCTCCACAACATTTTGACCAGCCTCAGTATCAGCCGCAGCAACAGGGGGGACACGAAATCCCATCATATTTCCTACTACATTTTTTTCACCAATATGTCACGAGGTTCTCCACGATTTAGCGCATTGACACTTAAACACAGGAGAACACCTGAGCCATTCAGGATGTGGCGAATCATGTTCGTAGACTAGAGCAGTCCTTTCCATCCACTTCCCACCAGGTCCAAGACATGTGGGACTACCACTACTATCTCGGACACTTTCTGCCGCCCGACTCTCCGATTTAGGTCATTTCCGCCATTTCCTTAAGCATTGTGGACAATGTTTGTTCTTAAGCTTGGTGTGGGGTATTTCCTTTTATATTTTTTCATTCATTTTTTTATAATTTGGTTGCATAACATTTTAGTTTTAAGGTAATCTGCATTCACTTTTTTTATTTAATAAATTTCCAAAAAGATTTTATTTTCTTCTTTTCTACATTTTATTATTGCATAACATTTAGCTTAGGGCATTAACATTCATGAATTTTTGTTTTCTATTTATTCTCACCCCCTTGGATATCATGGAATAGGTTCATAGTTATTGTATCATTATTGGTCCAGGACCTTGTTGTTATCTCACCCATCGAACTAGGACTATTAAACTGTAGTTTGGGACTTCATACTTGGGATCAACTGTTGGAGCTTAAAGGAGTAAGTGATCTTGGCCAGGTAGTTTCATGAAGAACTCTGCATACAATACTAACAACTGTCAGATATACTATAGGGATGGATGTTTTTAGCCATGCGGTCCATATCATTTACAGGATTACACTTGATCATGCTTGAACCGTTAGGATGCAACATTGGTGCTTGCCCCCGAGTAGAATTGGTATTCGGTCTCCTTACATCGCCATATTTTTTGCGATTTTCTTAGGATTTTAGAGAGTCGTTTAGTCCTCATTTGTACATTTTCATTATTTTTGGAAAATCACAAGTTTCAAAAGGAGCTTACATCTCGATGCTCCACACATGGTGATAGCTTATTTTATTTCCTAATTTTTATTAGTTTACTTTAGATTTTTATCTCTTTTTATTAGTATTGCATTGTATATTCTTTATTTTCTTTATCATGGATCGTATCGAGGACTTTTTATTTTGCATAAGAAATTTTGCAGGATTTTAGAGCTCATTGTAGTTGTGGTTAAACTGGAGTTGGGCTTAGTGGGCTTTCTGAGGCATTATTGGGCTTGGCGGATCCACCAATGAAAATTTGGGCTTAAAAAGCTAAACGCTTGGATGAAGTGGGCTTGTGAAGATGGATCGTGGACTTTTATTTTTGGCTTTGAGCATCCACAGTTGAAGCTAAAAGATGATTGGTTAATTTGAATAATGTGGGTTATGTAGGGGACAAAGGGAATCTTTGGTAGTGGCATGGTCAGTGGAGGAAAAATGAGCCAATTGCATTCCAGCAGCACTTGTGCGGGTGAAATTTCCGTACCTGCACAACTGCCCCGTTTTAGGTATTTTGGGTATTTTGGTCATTTGGCACACCATTACATTGGGGGATCTAATCTATTAGGTATAACTTCGATTTTACACCATCGTAGACCAGAAGAAGGTAATTTTGGAGCTTGAGACTTGTTTATTTTTATCTTTCCAATTTATTAGTAGTTTCTTTATGCAATTAGACTTTGTCATTGTTATTATATTGCCATGAGTGGCTAAACTCTCTATTTTGGTTAACTTTGGATAAAACCCTTGAATGTTTGTGGGTTTTTGAAGTATTCTTGTTTATTTATCATTTATCTTATGTTTATAGTTGTAGTTCATATTTCTTATGCTTGCTTGATACTTTAATCATGAGCTTGGTACTTAAATGAGCAATTGTTGGTTTATTTCTTTGGTTTTGCATTGAATCATTGAATTTACCTAGAACAAGATCTTTATGATGGTAGAAATCATCTCTAGCTTATGAATCATATCTCCTTTATGGATGTGTAACCATTGATATCATCTAGGAATTGGGGATTCCTTCATTCTTAAAGCTAATCATCTTCTTGTGTTCAATTTCTTCAATTGGATCTTTGATTTTGATTAAGAAGGTGTGTTGTGGGCTTCCCCAACCTCCGTACTACTTATTAGAAATCTTGGTATATCAGGATTCATGATTTCTATAACCAATTTAGGATGAATGATAGGCTTCATGTTGAATCCTAATGATAAACACAAAAATGTTCATTGTGTTGAATTTCCTTGGTTAACCAATTCTCATCAATATGTTAGCATCTCATCATCTTGCTTAATTGCAAGATTTTTAGTTATTCAAGTCTTTTAGTTTTCAAGAAATCACAACACTCCCCTTTTAGTTTAATTGTAGTTAGTTAGCTTATTTTCATTATTTCTATTAGATTGCATTGGTGATTGAATACAACAATTTCCCCGAGGATCGATACCTATTTTTACCATTATATTACATTTTATTTGCAAATAAAGGGTGTAATTTGCTTGGTGGACTTGAGAACCCTCCAAGTTTTGGCGCTGTTGCCGGGGAAATTGGTTATTGTTATTTGATTGTTTATGCCTTGGTCTAGAAGACCTAATGAACTACTTTACAATCCGAAGACTGAAAA